ATTTAAAATTGCAATTTGGACTCTCAAAGTATGGATTGTATACAGCTGGATCCCTTAACTTTTAAACATTTGCTATTTGGTCCTAAATTCAAAAGAAACGGCTAGTAACGAAATATTCAAAGTGTTATGAAGTTTGGTTGGCCATACACAGAAAAAATGTGGAGTGTCAATTACATATGCTTAAGTCCGATTATGAATCTTGTTTGAGAATTCAAATTAACAAAAGTTTTTACATAAGTTTATCGTTCGCACAAACAAATAGTGTACGTCATGTTTATATATCCAAATGAATTGAAGTATGATGATATCTTATGCAATTAGCATAAAGAGTAAATTTTTTCCTAACACAAGCATACGACTCGTTGCAAATACGAATAATTTATATTCATATCATTGCCTTTACATTAAATGAACATATTCTTATTTAGCCTTCACATTAAATGAACATATTCTTATTTTGCCTTCACATTAAATGAACATATTCTTTGCACTAAATACATTTTGCAAGATTAACAAGTTATTTAGCCCCTGTTTGACAACCATTATTTTCAAACTCTTTTTTCTATATACTCATTTTTAATCACACATTCACAAAATAAAATATTTTTCACGTAAACCCAAAACTATTCCTTACTTTTTAATAACACATTCTCCTAAAAATCATTATTCAAAACATTATTATTTTTTCTTTTTAATTAATGACCACCAAACAGGAGCTTAGTATAACTGAAACGAGAGCTAGTGACAAGATCGGAAACAAGCCGAGCACGCTGACTTTGTACATGTTTGGGGTTGACTTATTCTAAACAATAAGCACCAATTGCATAGTTTATTTAATGTAGGTGTAACCACATTGAAAATAAGTTACACATTTGGTGCTTATTTTGTAAAAAAAAGCTACCCCAATCATGCATTAGGCAGATATTGTTTGCTTATGGATCCTACGCTTTAGTGCACCAATGTAGTTAAGTTAGCTTTGTAACTAGAACCAACATAAATATCTATGGAGTCTTCTATATTTACTCATGATCTCATGTCATTATCCCCACTCTCATAAAATCATCACTCTTTGCACACAAATGGTGGATCACTTATTATCCTAGCAAAACACATATGTGCAAAACATGAATTCATTTAATGCAAAGACAATGATACAACTATAAATTTGCACTGTCCAATGAGTTCTAAATAACATAATCATTTACTTCTAGTCCACACGCACACATTTAAAATTTAGTACATGACCTCATATCATTCCATTCACTTATGAAAGCCCTACAACATCAAACATTGGATTGTAATCAATTCTCACCCCCTTTTTGTGGAAGATCAAGCATACTTAGTTTATCTTGTTTCACGAAGGCTCCTACATGAATAATACTAACCAAAAAGAGAAGTGAGCGGGTGGATGCCAATAAGGTATTTAGGGGCTGGGTGAATGGGCTTTGGTAAACTGGACAAGACCAAGTTCAAGCTCACCTAGAGCCGATCACTTCCAATTGAAGGATGTGGTACACCTGATAAAAAGACGATCAAGAGACGGAATTTGTCCTACATCTACATAGGACTTATGGAGTAACCCAGCCCATAACATTATACAACATCTAGATACTATTAGAGTAATTTACAGAGGGATTGGGCAAAATAGGCACGAATTTCACAAGGATGAGGTTTTGCTACACTTCCTTAAGAACCTTAACCCATGACGAAAGCAATTCACAGAGCATATGGATGAGATGTTCGACTGCTGAATGTCCCTATAGTATTGATCACATGTTAGAGGGGAAGTTGGATAATCAATAGCAAAGAATATAGAAACATTGTGAGGTCTAAGGGAGTACTCTGTCGATTGTAGTAGAATCAAAAGCAACTACCAATAAATATGACGTTCCGCCAATACAAACTTGAAACGCATATAATCAATATAAGAAAGACCAACAAGTCCTTTTAAGAAACACATATCAAATCCCCTATAACACTGCTAGAATTCAGTCAATTCCATCCCAGCAAAAACATGTATGCATAAAGAAAGAGAGAAGAAGATTGAAAATTACTTGAAGGTGCGGATTAATTAGTTGTAGTAGAGCTCGAGACCCATGCCGTCATGGATCTCATAGTCCTTTAGAGTAATATGGTCCTTGTAAATGTTGTACCACTTCTGGATTCTTATCTTGTCGGAGCGCGTCCCGGTCTGCGCAGCCACCAGCTTCTTCAGGTCCCCGATCGTGTCGTCCTCATTGCACTTCACGCGGACCTTCTTCCCCAGCCTGTCGTTCAGCACAACCTCAATCATCTTCTCTTCCGCTATCGATTCCAAACCCTAATTTTCAACTCCTTTTTCCTGGATTCTAACTGTTAGGTTTTGTGGACGCTATTTATATTCTATTTCCACGACTTCGAGAATGCGGAGGAATCGTGAGTGGGCCTTGACGATTCTAGAATTGAATTT